ACCAAAAATTACTGTGAACTGTGCCTTTATCTAATTCTTGATATCTATTCAGGAGAACCTCTGCTTTTTCCTTATCCAGCTGTTGTCTGGTAGGTTATCTAGTGTAACCGGTGACCCACAACACATTATCCGCTATGCTAACATAGACGCCTGAAACTATTACGTAGCGAACGGAGCTGTTCTCAGGGAGTTATTGTTACACTGCTGACATATACGGTAACCCGCGCGAAAAATCCTGACAGGAATTCTCGGCGATCCGCCAAGCTAGACGTTTTTCACTTCATTCACTCACCTGAGCCACTGGGAATATAGTAGGCGCCGTCGGCGTTTTTATGAAGTATTGTCTGGCCTTCTGCCAATGACGACCAGTCATCCAGTGCGGGAGCTAATGGTTCTCGCATAGCAGATCGACGCTGAAAAACTTACAGAAACTGTAATATGGTACTAAAAATAATTTTTTTTCCATTGAGTAGGCTCAAAAAATTTTCTTATTGTCTGATCAATTTTCCCGAATTCTAGAGAATCTCATACTGCCTTTCCATTATTCTTCCCCAGTGAAAAAATGATTCGCGGTGGTAGTGAGAAAAGATAAATCAACGTAGACGTTTGGTTATTCCTGTCCGCGTTCTGTGAGTTATTTTTAATAGAGTTTTGCCCAAAATCGTCACGCTGACGGAAGTAGGATCACTTTGTTCTAGGCACGAATAAACGATGAGCCAATAAATATCGCCATAAAAAAGGAGGCCCAAGGTCGATCTGGCGTCACACATCAATCGCTACCGGATGTGACTTATATCAGGACCATGGGATTGGATTCACTATCAAAACACCGAGGGTCAGAGCTCAAATTGTCGACAAACCTAGACCGGATACTATTGAACTGCGAAAAGATAGAAATGAACCAATCTGCACAACATAGGGGAACGGGATGCGAGGATTAAGAATAAAAATTAATATAAAAAGATCGTTATTGATTGCGTAAAAGGAAAAAATGACGAAAAAGTTATCTTGAGAGTGAAAAATGCCCTTACACATCAAAATCACACCGAAACAGCCTTCAAAAAAGAAACGCCGATGAATTAATCCCCTTCAATTAAAAAAAATTCTGAGCCCAAGAATCGAAGCCTCAAGCCCCTAGGAAGTTTCCGGCCATGAGTCAAAAGGGATCTTTCTTCATTGAGCCAATTTCGGGCAGCCGAAGACTCGAAAAATCAAGAACAAGCATTTAACAAATTAAAAAAAAACGAAATAGTCTCTTACTAGTTAAAGCCAAGCATCAATCCAAATTGAGGTGAAGCACTTGACTGCGTCGTACTTGGTTAGCATGGCAAGAAAAGGAAGGAGTTTAATGGACAAGAAACATGATCCACGGAAAGGCCTCAAAGCACTCGATATATGCATTCTTTTAGAGGCAGGAAAGGACAGAATGGATTTTTTCGGTGAATGGGAGCCGATTGGTCCGAGAAGCTGGCTATTAGCTGACCAGGATAGAGCCATTTCCTATATGTTGGATAATGCCATGAAGCTGATAGCATATAAATCAAACAAAGACCTAGTCATGCCTTCAATGTCTCTAAAGAACTATTTATGTAGTATGCCACCAGAAATTCATAACACCTAATAAGAACCTAAGAGGAAAGGAACCGTCGAAGGCGAGGCGAGGCATAAACGTAAATAAATAAATGAAGAAATGAATGTATTCCAAATATTATATGTAAAAAAGAAGTATATGTAAATATACATATGTAGCAAGAAAGTGTCAGAAAAAAAAAGAAATTATTATAAGAGAAATGTGGTAAGAGCCTAAGAAGCTAATACAACAAAGTCCTAAACAATAAAAAACAATTAGATAGTTCACAAATACATTTCGAAATTTAGAACCAATACACATTCACACATAACATTTGAGTAAACAGAAACAAAAATAAAAATAAACAAAGGCAAGCTCTGCTAAGCAACAAACCTGCTGTGATAATGACATCTCATATGAGTTGTACTTAGGCGGTGCTGTGGTGGAGGTGAGTAGTAGGTCCCGTGATGACAATTCTGAAAGACAACGTGATTGTCGTCGTCGCCGCCGCCGCTGTCGGACGTAGTCTGACTCAGAATCAGCACAAAAACCACCTTTGAGCGTTACATCAAAGCGCAGACCGGCTGCTATATAGAGGCAATAACATCGTACAAGTCCTTTTCAGCGGTTTTACGACTACTTCCATTTTCTGACAGAATCTTTTTTTCCTAAGCCCGTTTTGGCTGGACATTCTAGGACCCAGTCATCCTGCTTCTATAACTACGCGAACCCAGCAGACAACAATCATCACAGGGGTTAGGTCTTTCTGGCTAAGGTCCCCTATCCCCTCAATCAATCACCTAGGTGCTGGTACCATGGGATCACAATGCGTGCGGTTCTGAAGACTATTACTGCAAGGTAGACCCATAACTACTTACCTCCCCCAAGTATCAGAACCGCGTCTGACCGTTAGCCAACCTTACCTCGTTCTCGACAATCTTCCGGATCTTCATAGTTATTCTCATAGTCGTGGTCCCGATCGGGTGGATGTGGCGGCATCCATGCCGGCGGTGGTCCACGCATTTCAAATGGCGTGCACTCGGATGGATGAGGTAATGATGAAGCACCTGAAGAGCTAAAATCAATTTGCGAATCTTTACTGTTTATTTATACGAATATGTTCCAGCAGAATAGACTAGATTGATTTTAGAAGGATCGTAACAAGCTGCGTTCAATTGACAAATATGA